AGTATTGCCAGCTTCAGCAATAGAAATCAATTTGCCTGGTATGTTTTAATGATCAGAGATGCAGACAAATGAATAGAAACAAAGAAGCCAGAATCACACCCGTGAATTAGCAGAGAGGGGAGTCTCCTGCCATCTCAATAGCAGGCGCTGTGACTTGGAACTGATCCTTGGACACTAGAACCACAGGTCACTAACCATCCATCCATCCCCTTGTCCTGGTGGGTCCTACAATCCTACACTGGTTTAACTACCACCAGAGGAAGCTCATCCTAGGAGCCCAGCTCCCAACTCCAGGGCTAAGGAATATACATTAGAAGGACCAAGTCTAGATCATGTGCTCTTGTCCTAGCGATTACACGTTGAGACGGAGGAAGGGTACATGGACTCTTAGACCTCCTTGTTGAGACATGCATTCCACTTGCCACTGAGTCTCAAGCAGTGGAGCTGTAGTATAGGGCAAAGCTACAAAAAAAAAAAAAATGGAGAGGTCAATTCCAATTCCAGTAACTCAGACATGGCTGCCTTTCTGTTCCACATCCATCCCCATCCAGCTGGCTTGCTCAGGAAGGAGAATGTGGCTGCTCACTTAGAGGGGACTGTGGGTAGGGAGGGCATCATTGACCAAGACAAGAGAATATCACAAAATTGTACAGGGATTTCTTTCACATGAGCCACGAAACACGCATAAAAACAAGGTCATTTAAAGCATGTTTTGTGACGTGTCTGTCTTTCTGGCTCGTGCGTGCAAATTTTAGGGCTTGTGCTTAGTCTCCTTGGTTCTTATATCCTTAATTCCTGGACGCCAGAAGATGCTCGCAAACCGACTCTTGGATTTAACAGAACCCACAGACCAGAACATTTTATGTAACATCAGATGCCATAAACTTCTCCGTACTTTGGGGAATATAACAATTTAAACAATAGAAAAGATATATTGACACGTCATAAAAATTTGTTATGATCTATAATTTCCTTAGAGTTATGGTTTCTCACTATCTTCAGAGAGCACTGGTTTCTGAAACTGGGGTAGGTGGGATGAGGAAATTGCTTGAAGACGGAAAGGTGGAAGCAGGAAATAGAAGGTAGATGTGGGGGAGGGGCATCGAAAGGGGACCGAACTGGAGAGCAACAGGGCGTGTAAGATTCTGATAACCTAGAAGGGTATCAGTGAATGGACAGAGAAACTTTGAATATTGCTTTAATGGTAGCAAGGAAGAAAAGATGGGATTTTTCTAAGTTTTTATTTCATGTTGTTTTGTCTGCATATACATGTGTTTACTGTTTGCTACATGTGTGCAATGCCCATAGAAGTTGGAAGAAAGGGTATCAGGACCCCTGAAATTACAGATTAGGGTCCTGGGAACTAAACCCAGATCTTCTTCAAGAGCAACCAATGTTCTTAACCACTGAGTCATTTCTCTAGCCCTAGAGGTAATATTTCAAGTGTGCACTGTATTCTGACCTGTTGTGGGAATTCATTCTGCCGATAGCTTTAGGGTACTGGCTTTAGGATGTGGTTTCTTTTCTCTCTTAAAAGGAGATTTTTTTTTTTGGTTCTTGTAACACTCACCTGTAACTAAGAACCAGGCACATTGGTACCATTTTGCAAGTGTGTACATTAAACATCCCTGACAACAATTTCATACAACAGACTCTACTCTATCCAGTTTATAGATCAAGAAAAATATGAGGCTCCAAGAGTTTTGTATAATATAATTGAGTTACATCACCATCACACACACAGTAAGCGTCAGCGTCAGGCTTTAATGATTCATTATTATTCCAAGTTCCACATGATTTCAACACCCATTTCTGAATAAAACTGAATTGGGTGAAGAGCTAGGTTTCAAGCTCACCAGAAGCTACATCTCCAGAGTCTGCTCGCGAGTTCCATTAATGCTTCCTAGATATTTGTTCATGGAAGAAGAGGAGGAGAAGGAGGAGAGTTGATTCATATCAACCGACCATCCAGTTCTTCAGTGCCGTAGGAGGCAATAGAAGAGTTTTATATCATTTAAAATAGAGGATGCAATTATTAATCCATTTTATTTTAAAGAAACAGGATAAAGAAAAGTTATACACAACTAACAAAAATACAAAGACACACTGGCATGTGTCTCTAGGCCATCTTTGAGGGCCCCATTTTCTTGTGTGATGTGAGCAAATTGACTTTGATAATGAGCTAAAAGGCCTAACATCGCTAGAATGTACCTGATGTCAAACTGGGAGGGCAGGATGTCCTAGCCTCAAAGCCCCAAAGCAAAGAACTTGGAAAATCACTAACTTTCTATAATGGGGTGAGTGGTCTCGCCCCAAAATATATGTACAGCCATAATCTATGAATGTATGCTCTGAGGATCTCTGAAGGTCTTAACTAGACTGTCAAATGTCGTCTTGCTAGGCTAGGGTGGAACTTGGAGCCAGTAAAAACTGTCCACAGAAAAGGAGAAGAAACACACAAAAAAGATGGTGATGAAGATGGGTGGCCATTGGGGTGAGCCATCTGCCTACAAGCTGAGGGCCATCAGGGTAGCCAGAATCTAAGGGAAAGCCATGCAGCAATTTTTCTCAGAGCTTCCAAAAGGGACCAAGTGACAATCTGATGTCTCCTGTTTAAAGCCAATGTGAGAAAAGAAGTCAGTTTATGATGAGAGAGAGAGAGAGAGAGAGAGAGAGAGAGAGAGAGAGAGAGGCCCTCAGGCAGCAACCAGCCCCTTCCCCGTCTGAAGTTTACAGGGCCTCTGCAGGATTCTCAATGGAGACCCTGAGCTAGAATCACATGGAGCATGGAAGCCGACTACTACAGGGCTGGGGCTAGAGATCTTAGACACAGATAGGTTTGAGGACAACTGTCCTGAAGGCTGACAGGCTTAACCCTCCTCTCTGAATCCTCAGGGTTTCCAAGGGGATGTGTAAGAAAAGTCAACCGGCTTCATGGCATGATTTTAGGAGGCAGAGAGAACTTCTCTCTCAATGGTAAAACATTCCTGAGGATATAACAACCCGATGTAATGGATATTACTGCTCAGGAAGAGGATACATGAAAATGAAAGGTAGAATTCACCAAATAGTCAGTACAGGGCTGTTCTAGTCTGCATCTCTGTTGCTGCGACAGACATCATGACCAAGGGCAACTAGCGGAGAAAAGGATTTATTTGACTTATAGGTTACAGTTTATCATGAAGGGAAGCTAGGGGAAGAACTCAAACAAGAACCAGGAGGCTCAACTGAAGCAGAGGCCGTGGAGGAGCACTAGTTATTGGCTTGCTCAACCTGTCCTCTTACATAACCCAGGGGCACCTACTCAGGGGTAGCATTGCCCATGGGTCCCTCCACACAACAACTAATCAAGAGGATGCCCCCATAGCCTTGCACATCGGCAGATCTGATGGAGTCATTTTCTCAGTTGAGGTTCTGACTCTCGTTTGTGTTAAGGTGACAATGAAACCAACCAGCACAGAGGTAGATGACGGAACAGAACTCATGGAGGTGTCAAATGAACAAACGGGTGAGGTTTACCAACCAGGTATGGTAAGCACGCGTCAGCAATTCCAGCACTTGGAATGCTAAGGCAGAAGAATCGTAATTTAGAGGTTGGCTTGGGCTACACAGGGCATCCCAGACCAGTCTGGGTTATAGAGTGAGACTTTGTCTCAAAAGCAAACAACACAAAGTGGGCGAGCTTTGGAGTACGAATGTTGGGAGATACGCTTCCTTGAGCTTGCCTTCTTGACAATACAGCTCATTAAGCCTTTCTGCAGTTTTTATTTTATTTGAAATGAGATAGGTGGACAAGACTGCCCTAATACTGGCTAGGTAGTTAAAGATGGCCTTGAACTTCTGATCCTCTGCCTCCACCTTTGGAGTTGTTCAGAGTACAAGCAGGCACCGCCATGCTGAATTTATGTGGTGCTAAGAATGAAATCCAGAACCTTCTTTGGCTAGGCAAGCACTCTGAGCTATTCATCCCCACCCCTGCATTTTAAATGAGGCCCATGAAGACCCATGTAGAAAAGTCTCACATGTCCAGGAGGAGGAGGAGGAGTGGGAGGAGGAGGAGGAGTGGGAGGAGGAGGAGGAGTGGGAGGAAGAGGAGGAGTGGGAGGAGGAGGAGGAGGGGGAGAAGTGGGAGGAGGAGTGGGAGGAGTGGGAGGAGGAGGAGGAGGAGGAGTGGGAGGAGGAGGAGGAGGAGAGACCCAGCACAGTCTTTACAGTAGCGTGCCTCCTCAGAGTTTAGCTCCCTGCCTGTTTCTATCTGGAAAATCAACAAGCATGGACAGAAGTTGTGTGGTCCAGGAGCTGGATGTGCACATGCTCATAGAGACTTCAGCATCCCAGTGCTCTGTTGAATTAATTGCTTTCAGGCAAAGAAAAATGGGTCTCGGGGTGGAAATCCATCAATAGAAAGTGACCAAAGGACTTGATGCTTCAGAGCACATAGACCAGGGAGTCAACTGGGCCCTTGGATGTCTGAGTAAAAGGCACCCATCTCGACTGAAATACCTTCAGGCGTGGAAGGAAGCCCAGGCGTCTAAGGCGCCCGTTCCAGAATTCCTTTATATGACTGTGACAGTTGTTCACAAAGACTTTTACGATTATCTGTGACTAGCACTCATAGAAACCAAGGTCCTACTCATTCATCTGATGGTTTCTCAGACTGAGAGGGAGTTGAGAAGAAAGATTAAACGGGGGGTGGGGGAGTCTAAGGTAAAATTCGTCATAGGAGGAGGCGATGTCCCCACACAGCTCGCCTTTGGGAGTGGGGCTCCTGAAGACATAAGAGGAGAAACTTTGAAAGGAAGGGGATGCTTTCCCCTGCGCCTAAAAGAAACCTCAGCCCCACCATATACCCCCACCAAAGTTCACCGCACCACACCTGCCTTCCCCAGATGGGGCTCCCCGCGCAAACGCCTCCACATCCTCCAGCCATGGTGTAAGCTCCTCCCTCGTCAGAGCCTGGTGCTGTCCTAGCGCCTGAGCGCCCCGACTGCCTGGCGGCTGGGAGTGGGCCCGGCTCTCAGCCATTGGTCGCGCGGCCCCTGAGGGCGGAGGGACGCCGCAGAGCCGGGCACAGCCAGGCGGGTGCCCACTCCCACTGAGCCTGCCGCCCGTGCGCTCTGATCGCGTCCGCTCGCTGGCGGTGCATTCCCTGGGACCGCCCGGCGGGCGCGCAGCTCCGAGGCTGGGCCGCCGCCCCACTCCAACGCCAGAGTCCAGATCCGCAAGTCAGTGAGCCCGGGCACAAGAGTGGGGAATTGAGACGTAGGGGGCAAGGAGCAATGGCAGTGGGTTCGTCCCCAGAGAGGGCCGCCGGATGCCCCACCTAGGGTGGCAGTGGGATCCCTTAGCTTTGGACTTCATTCCCCCGTCTCTCCTGGGACTACTTGAGATTTGGCTCCTTGCTGTGGAACACCTTTGAATCTTTCCTTTTTGTAGGGGGACGCATCCTTAGGGTCCTAAAGCAGGCCCTGCAACCCAGCTCTCAGGGTCTTAGGGACACACAGCCAGCTACAGCTGGATCCACCTGGGGCCCAGTTTGCAATGTCCTTGGCCCCTGAATGACCTGCGTGGTTCCCTGCACGGGGAGTCAGGAAAGTCGGCCCTCCAGTCCACAGCGGCAAAGGTTAATTCCGCTGCCTACTGTGTACACTTTGTAATACGTTTCTGGTGCCTTTTGTGTGGGTTTTGCGGCGTGTGTGAGCTTTTCTTCATTTCTAGGGTCATTTGTTCCTTCCTGGGGAGTCGCCACGCAGACATTGACGGCTGGCATTGCTCTGTGCTGTATTCGCTTGAGTCTTCTCACCTGTCTTCAGTGGCTGCAAATCCGGATAAGTTTTTCCCTGGCGCTGAACACTCGGGTTCCCGGGCGGGGCTTTCTCTGGGTAAGTAATGCACCCTCAATCCTTCGCTTTCCCAGGATGCGAGAGACTCTGCCTGCAGCCCTGCGCCTCCCAGGCAAGAGAAAGGTTCGCAGATTATGGGCAAATGTTTGAATTCTCATTAAGACGAAATAATAGGCAATGCGCCCCCTCCCCTCGAGAGCAGAGAGACACATTCATTCTCAGAAACGTCTTGTTGAAAGCCAGGACTATGCCTGTGCGCTTTGCGTGCCCAGATGTCTGGTCCCCCGGGCTCACACGGGTTTGATGCCAGGTTCCAATGACGGGGTCTATTTCTTAATGTCCTTCCTTTTCTCTGCCGCTTTATTTTCCTGGGGGAAAACGTTCTGCGGAAGCGCTCAGTTCGGAGGCTTTTAACTGGCAGCCAGATACTTAGAGATGGTCAGAGCCTCCGTCATGGGCATGGTTCCCCTTGCAGGTACCCATGACAGGAGAATGGGCAGCCATCGGGTCCAGTCAGGAACCACTCCTAAGGATGTTTATTCTAGGGTGCTTTTCGCTTTCTAGTTCCCTGACTCGCTGTTCAAACAATTGAAAAGAGGAAAGATTGTTGAGTCTTTTCTTAAAATATTTTCTTTTTGTGCCATCCTGCAATACATCGTCCTTAAAACTGTGTTAAGGATTATATGTAATTGTCTTAGTGGGCCAACTAGACTATAAATAAGATTACTTTGTGACCTAGCCCATAGTAGGTCTTATATATGGGTCTGTAATTGAATGTGCTTCATTTTTGCTAGAGAGAGGTTTCTTGTCCCCCCCACCACCACCACATACACCCAAGGCACAAGAGAAAGTTGAGGTGCTTGTGAGTGAAGTTGCCCAGTGGGACTACGCTCTGATCACCTTGACATGCTGGGCAAAGGGGAGATGGAGAAAGGTTGCCTGCTTTTCTAATACTCTGGAGCCACTGAGCTCTAGGAAGTGGGTAGAGTATTCCATTTTGTGTTTTCAGCTGGGGGGGGCTTACTTCTTGTGTTTATTCCCCTTCGAAATACAAAGTTCTTTGAAAAGCAGCTCAGAGCACAGTCATGACTGTCACTGAAGAAGCTTGGTGTAAGGTAAGATAGATTCTGGTCTCTCTTGCTCTTGGTCGGCTTAGCTTAGCATGTTTACTAGACATGTGTGAGGTGCACAGCTCTGTCCGGTGTTGAGACAACGGCCATGCTGTTGTGCACGCCACCGATGGGTTCATCTGCAAGTTTCCTGAATTCCTCTTCCTGTCTTCCTTTATTCTATTTAATGAGGCAGATGAGCGATAGTGGAGATGATTGGTCACCATGATGAACTGTGTAAGAGAGTTACTGAATAACCTTGGGGTTGCCATTCATTGTAAGAGTAAAGATGGGCCCATCTCAGGTAAAAAAATTCTCTCGTTCAGCCTCTATTTCCAGCAGGATCAATTTGGACTTCATCTGATAAAAGTTCTAGACTCACACTTTTCCCTGTGCTTGTATTTTACCATCCCTGTTTTATACAGTGAATTTTACATTTAACATATTATCAGGAAGAAATGGCAAGAGTGGATCATATTGGTAGGTATTTTCACATTAACTGCATTAATAAAAGGTATACACCTGAATTTTGTTAACTCTTATCATTGCTCATGATGAAAGCTAAAGGAAAAGTAACAAAGCCTTTTGGTTGGTTCATAGATTAGAAAACCCAACAATGGTGCTCAGGCTGTAAGTGCGTGAATAGGCAGGACCCCTTTCAGATAATATATTCGTGTAAAGGACCCAGACAGGCTTAGGTGAAGTCCTGGGCAAGCATGCATGGCTTGTTCTTGGTTTAAATTCAAGAAGTCTATCTAGGCATCCACTGGCTATTCCAGGATGGCATGAGGCAGAGCCAGAGTCTGGTCCTGAGTTCTGATTCTAATGTTTGGGATGTGACCACAGGGTATAGCAGTCTGAGGCCAGCTGTCCCTTGACGCCAGAATTCCTTCTTCAGGAGTTCCCTAGGGATTTGACCATGGCCATGCCCACACTCTGAGTCCAGTTTATCATTTAACCAAGCTTGGCAGTGAGAACTGGGAGAGAGAGAGAGAGAGAGAGAGAGAGAGAGAGAGAGAGAGAGACTGACTAATTCCTAACATTCAGGAAATCATATCTACATTAACAGCATCTCTGGTTTGAAATGGTACAGCCCCACCCAAAACAGCATGAATATGGCAGAGATCTGAATTCTCACTAGGAACTGAACATGTCATTGTGCCATTGGCACATCCAAGTTCTTAACTGCGAATTTCCCATCTATTGTCTCACTTTAAGATATAAACTTAGTCTAGGTTGAAGTATGTGTTGGGGAGATGGTTGTTTGATATTGATAGTTTTGCCAACAATAATGAAAAGCTCTGATAAATATCGGCCTATAAGAATTACTAAAGAAATTCCTTAAAGAAGGTAAGGGACCGAATTCAAACTTCAGGTGGGAAACAGAAGAAGAGATGGCTACAATCCCCAATTTTAAATTAGAAAGCCAGGATGGTGCCCACGGTAGCCCACTAACTGCTGTGCTCAAATTGAAAGATGCCCTTCCATTTGCTTTACAAACATAGCCTTCCCTTTCTTCCTTAGCTGTCTGCAATGACCGACCAGATAAAATCCCAGATTTGTAGGTGACTAGCAAAAACCACAATTGGTTGTGAGGATGTATGTGCAGATCTTACTCTGTATCTCAAAGCTTAATTTTAATTGCCACAAATAAATTCTTTATAAAACGTAGGGGAAACTCATGCATATTCTGAGTACTTGCCATTCTGAGTAACTATGATTTTATACAGGATCACTTATTCATTCAGTAAATATTCTTCTGCTTGTAAAAATAGGATATGGGTTGTCTCCCCAAGAAGCTTCAAGTTTCTTTCTTCTTTCACTCATTCATGCAATTGTCTGGCAGATAATCATTGATCCTGTACAGGTGTGCTCTGTGGGTAGCAAGGTAAGTGAAATGTTGCTCCTTCCATCTAGGGATTCACAGCCCATCAAAGCACACAGACATGCAGATATAGCTGGCATACTGAAGTGTATAAATGCTTATGGGGAGAATATAGAACACAGTTTGAGAATACAGAGGAGGGAAGCAGAAGTTTGCATGGAGAAAGTAGGTGGAGATTATGAGATTAAACCTAAGTGCTGAAAAATTAATTGGGAAATTCTTAGCAGTTTGGTATGCCTGGAACATCTTTCTTAGATGTAACGGGGGGGGGGGGATTATGCTGGAAACATAGCCTACGACATATAATATAGGACAAACCATGTCTGTTTAGATTTCTTGGTCAAGATGCTGTATGAAACATGTGCACAAGGAAACAGTCTTTTCTAGACACAACAGGACAGACACACAGATACTGTGACAGCATGCATGAGACCCGCACAGGCTCAAGCCAGACCAGTCCCAGCACAACATGGGAAGTGGGCACAAAATATCCCCACCACGAAGCAAAGAATAGCTTATGGGAGAAGGAAAATCAGTTTTCTTCCATGGAGTGCCACTGGGAATCTCAGCCACACTCCAAAGCAGGCCCCAGGGCTGGGCGTGTTTGGCCAACACAAAACAAACTCCATGTTTTTTAAGGGCATTTTTTATTTCATTTTTTTTTAAAGAGAAAGAATATGATGTGGTATGAGTTGTGGTGTAGATCTGGGAGGAGTTGGGGGATGGGAAAGAATATGATAAAAATCTACTGTATGAAATTATCAAAAATAAATGAGGGAAAATAAATGTGCACCAACTGTATGCACATAATGTGCACCGACTGTATGCACATAATGATCTTTTATCCTTCCCCTGTGTATTTCATAATTAATGACTGTTTATTGAATGAATGTTGAAAAGCATTGCTTTTCTGAACTAAAAGAAACAGCCTTCACCCTAATTTCTATGATAGACTTTTTTTAAACTTTAAGTTGCTTTTAATATCATTGTCACCTGTCCCCCTAGAAACCATTTGTTTCTGCTGAAGACTTCTTTGTACTTGAGCAGCTCATCACACTCAAGTTCAAAAGGGATGGGTTTGGCTTTATTTACTGGTAGATTGCTATACTAATTCTTAATATACAAAATTCTTAGTGAACATATTACACATACGATATACGTGGCTGTTACTCAGAATTAGGCTTCTTAGCAATCATGTTCTTGGAGACCCATCATAAAATCCGCCGTCTGTAGATTGAGATGTTGTATTAGTTATCACACGGTAGATGACATGTCAATAATAAAACTCATAAGGAGTGTTTAGCCACTGTTAATGTTCAGTGCCAATAGCATCAGCAAGGGCTAAAGGCAGTCGCTGTGCTCATTCAGGGACCCTTACACACACTCACTGCCACAGAGTGGGGCATAGCAGCTCTTGCTCTGGTCACATGTTCCCTGTCATGGCACATACCACAATTCCTACATTTCATTAGCTCTAAGCAAGTGATATGACAGCCACCCTAAATTCAGACAGAGTGAGAACACTACAACAGACATAGAAGGAGGGACATAATCGGAGCATTTCCTCACTGATGACTTCCAGCCTCAAAAGATCTCTCTCCCATTTTCAGCCTCCTGAAAAAAATAAATATAATGAACACAGAACATGAAGACATAGGGATGGAGATGGAGATTCCAACTCTGCCTCAAGTGCATGAGTGACTTGTAGCATCATTTTATAAAAAGTAAAAATAATAACTACCTTTAAGAGTCATAAGGGTGGAAAGAGACATGAACAGTGTCCCCCCTCTCCCCCTCTCCCTGTACTTTTTCCTCTTCCTTTCTCCCAGAACTTGTACATGTTGCTTACCAGCAAATTCTCACAACTAGCTTCCATGCGGTACTGCTGTTTTCCCCACTGATTTGTCTAGCTATTCTTTCTTCTAGAGGCATCCAGGCTTTCCCTCCCTCTTCCTATCTTTGGATTGCCCTTCCACACATCCCCTGCCTCTTCCCTCTACTTCATAACTTTCTTCTTCATGATATATCCCTACATGCCAGCTTTC